AACATAAGCCAGTTTCCACTTGAAATGGAGGGTGCAACTTCGAAATCGATTTTCTCCAAAGATTTCAAAAATGCGAATTTGTGTTTTCGACTGAAAGAGATAGAAGACATGTTAAACTACCGTTCGCAACAAAAATCATACCTCTAGGGTCAAAATTGGCTGAGTTATGGCCATTTTAGCGCGGGGGTGGGGGGCGGCAGGCAGCCTATACAGTCTCTATGCAATCTATTGACAGCGGTCCAGGTCAAGACCAAATCTTTGACAGGCTGCCGTTCGAAAACTATCAGAGATGGAAAGCTGAAATTTGCACTGCAGGTCCGGACCCATCTGAAGTTGTAATGTTGCAAATTTCAAGTTCCTACCGTGAAAACTCTGCCAGTTGCAGCACTTTTGGTCTCAGACTTTTTCTCCAAATCAAAACATAAGCCAGTTTCCACTTAAAATTGAGGGTGCAACTTCAAAATCGATTTTCTCCAAAGTTTTCAAAAATGCGAATTTGTGTTTTGGACTGAAAGAGATAGAAGACATGTTAAACTACCGTTTGCAACAAAAATCATACCTCTAGGATCAAAATTGGCTGAGTTATGGCCATTTTAGCGCGGGGGTGGGGGGCGGCAGGCAGCCTATACAGTCTCTATGCAATTTAGTGGCAGCGGTCCAGGTGAAGACCAAATCTTTGACAGGCTGCCGTTCGAAAACTATCAGAGACGGAAAGCTGAAATTTGCACTGCAGGTCCGGACCCATCTGAAGTTGTACTGTTGCAAATTTCAAGTTCCTACCGTGAAAACTCTATCAGTTGCAGCACTTTTGGTCTCAGACTTTTTCACCAAACCAAAACATAAGCCAGTTTCCACTTGAAATGGAGGGTGCAACTTCGAAATCGATTTTCTCCAAAGATTTCAAAAATGCGAATTTGTGTTTTCGACTGAAAGAGATAGAAGACATGTTAAACTACCGTTCGCAACAACAATCATACCTCTAGGGTCAAAATTGGCTGAGTTATGGCCATTTTAGCGCAGGGGTGGGGGGCGGCAGGCAGCCTATACAGTCTCTATACAATCTAGTGGCAGCGGTCCAGGTGAAGACCAAATCTTTGACAGGCTGCCGTTCGAAAACTATCAAAGATGGAAAGCTGAAATTTGCACTGCAGGTCCGGACCCATCTGAAGTTGTAATGTTGCAAATTTCAAGTTCCTACCGTGAAAACTTTGCCAGTTGCAGCACTTTTGGTCTCAGACTTTTTCTCCAAATCAAAACATAAGCCAGTTTCCACTTAAAATTGAGGGTGCAACTTCAAAATCGATTTTCTCCAAAGTTTTCAAAAATGCGAATTTGTGTTTTCGACTGAAAGAGATAGAAGACATGTTAAACTACCGTTTGCAACAAAAATCATACCTCTAGGATCAAAATTGGCTGAGTTATGGCCATTTTAGCGCGGGGTGGGGGGCGGCAGGCAGCCTATACAGTCTCTATGCAATCTAGTGGCAGCGGTCCAGGTGAAGACCAAATCTTTGACAGGCTGCCGTTCGAAAACTATCAGAGACGGAAAGCTGAAATTTGCACTGCAGGTCCGGACCCATCTGAAGTTGTACTGTTGCAAATTTCAAGTTCCTACCGTGAAAACTCTATCAGTTGCAGCACTTTTGGTCTCAGACTTTTTCACCAAACCAAAACATAAGCCAGTTTCCACTTGAAATGGAGGGTGCAACTTCGAAATCGATTTTCTCCAAAGATTTCAAAAATGCGAATTTGTGTTTTCGACTGAAAGAGATAGAAGACATGTTAAACTACCGTTCGCAACAAAAATCATACCTCTAGGGTCAAAATTGGCTGAGTTATGGCCATTTTAGCGCGGGGTGGGGGGCGGCAGGCAGCCTATACAGTCTCTATGCAATCTAGTGGCAGCGGTCCAGGTGAAGACCAAATCTTTGACAGGCTGCCGTTCGAAAACTATCAGAGATGGAAAGCTGAAATTTGCACTGCAGGTCCGGACCCATCTGAAGTTGTAATGTTGCAAATTTCAAGTTCCTACCGTGAAAACTCTGCCAGTTGCAGCACTTTTGGTCTCAGACTTTTTCTCCAAATCAAAACATAAGCCAGTTTCCACTTAAAATTGAGGGTGCAACTTCAAAATCGATTTTCTCCAAAGTTTTCAAAAATGCGAATTTGTGTTTTCGACTGAAAGAGATAGAAGACATGTTAAACTACCGTTTGCAACAAAAATCATACCTCTAGGATCAAAATTGGCTGAGTTATGGCCATTTTAGCGCGGGGTGGGGGGCGGCAGGCAGCCTATACAGTCTCTATGCAATCTAGTGGCAGCGGTCCAGGTGAAGACCAAATCTTTGACAGGCTGCCGTTCGAAAACTATCAGAGACGGAAAGCTGAAATTTGCACTGCAGGTCCGGACCCATCTGAAGTTGTACTGTTGCAAATTTCAAGTTCCTACCGTGAAAACTCTATCAGTTGCAGCACTTTTGGTCTCAGACTTTTTCACCAAACCAAAACATAAGCCAGTTTCCACTTGAAATTGAGGGTGCAACTTCAAAATCGATTTTCTCCAAAGATTTCAAAAAATGCGAATTTATGTTTTCGACTGAAAGAGATAGAAGACATGTTAAACTACCGTTAGTAGTATATGTGTTTTCGGATATGACGCATTTGACATCTGCGGATGCGCAGCTTTTTCATGCGTCATATCCGAAAACACACAACTGTTAAAATTTATTATAACAGACTCCCCAAACTGTTAAAATACATTATAACAGACTCCCCTAACTGTTAAAAATGTATTATAACAGACTCTCCAAACTGTTAAAAAATATATCATAACAGACTCCTCCAAACTGTATTATAAATTACCCAAAACCACAGACAAGATTCACTAAAATAATACAGTATAAAATAAGCGCATTAAAAAAAAATAAAAATGTCTTTAATTTTAAAACACGAAAAAAAAATTCGAAGGAGACGGTTTCTTCTCTGCTCTAACATCTCTCATCCCCAAAGTGGCCAACTTTGTCTCAAACAACAAATTTCCTCAGGAGAAGATGCAGTGAAAAGATCTAATGATTCATTTCTATCGCTTGAATAGTTTTCTCCTTGTATTAAATCTGTCGTATTAAAAATATATGGTGTTTATTTGATTATTGGACAAATATGTCTTTAATAAATGTCCATCCTCCTAAAACGTATTTCGGTGCGGGAGACATTCAAAAGTCATTGGGTTCTCTTCCTGGATTCCCATGGGCAAAATATCCCGGAGAAAAACATCTCCCAGGGCACAATTATACAGGTCCAGGCACTAGGTTAGATCTGCGTTTAGACGAAAATGATAATCCCAAACCAGGGGAAGAACCCGTTAATAGAGTTGACGCAGCAGCGCTCAAACACGACATACTGTACAGAAACAAAGACATAACAATCAGACACCAAGCAGACAAACAAATGATAGACGAACTTGAAAATATCCCCAATCCCACTTTCAAAGAGAAATTACAAAGGGCTCTTATCATAAAACTCTTGAAGGCAAAATTGAAATTGGGTATGGGCATAGCAGACGAGATTCACAAAGAATTTCGAAAAAACAAACATTACGTCAAAGTCAAAGTTTTTGATAAAGATGAAATTTGGTCAGCCGATTTAATCAACATGCCAGTCGAGAGAGGGTACAAGTATTGTTTGACGGTGATCGACATATACACGAGATACGCTTGGGTCTTTCCCTTGAAAAACAAATCGGGGCTGACTGTCAAACAAGCATTCGAAACCATAATGAAACAATCCGACAGGCGACCCCTAAAGTTGTGGGTTGATAAAGGAAGCGAATTCTACAACAGAAATGTGAAATCTCTGGGGTTTGAAATTTACAGCACGCATAACGAAGGCAAGGCAGTAGTGATAGAAAGATTCAACAGGACTCTTAAAAGCAAATTATTCAAGAAATTCACGGAAATGAAATCTCAAAAATGGTTTAAAATATTACCAGTTGTTGTCGACGAATACAATAACAAAATACATTCGTCTATAGGTGTGACGCCAACGCAAGCTTCGAATAACCCGTATATCATAAAGTCCGTCAACACTCGAAACAACTTTGAAAACGAGATTAGCAATTTGAATATTAAACCAAAATTCAAAGTTGGAGATCGAGTTCGTATTTTTAAATATAAATCATAGTTTCAGAAAGGTTACGTCGGGTATTAGACTAACGAGATATTCATCGTTGATAAAATAAACACCACATCACCTCCCACGTATGAATTAATCGATCAAGACAAAGAACAAATCATAGGAAGGTTTTATCAAAATGAACTACAAAAAACTGACTTTTAAAAATGAATCTCGAAAATGAAGATTTAGATGAAAGGTTAAGAAATTTAGATGTCGACAAGCATTTACACTCTCTTAAATTAAAATTTTTTAAATTTAAATGTAAATTTATCTTCAAAATATTATTGAATGTGTTTTATCAGAATGTTATACAAGTTTTTTCAAACACAAACTAAGTATATATTTCGTCAATTGGGTCTTCAGCAATACTTACCGCCTACTTCGAAAAACACCTAAAAAAATCAACTTAAAAAATGAATGCATTTCTCGATGAATACGGAAAAGATACGACCACAAACTTTCAACTTGTGAAATGGGCCAAGGAATTGAACGTCTCGCCGTTTTATTATTGCATGCGAGATGAAATTGATGAACTGAAATACAAGAAAGGTAAATTTTACGCCATCACATTCACACGTCGGATCAAAAAGGAGTTCATCACTCTGCTCTACACAAAGATTCTTTGAATAACTTTTATTTCTTTGATTCTTCGGTCTAGAACCGACAGAAGAGATAACGAAATTAACTAGCAAACCAATCAAATGTTCTACGTTTCAAATTCAAATGCCCGGACAAAAGCTGTGTGGACAGCTGTCGCTTTGGGTTTTATATCGGTTGAGTTTGGGAGAAAAGTTTGAAGAAATTATAATAAATTTAACTCAATAAAAATGGCAAACAAGTTTGGATTAGGGTCTTTACCTCTAGAATCTAAAAATCCCATGACGACGTTTATACACAAAGCGAAACCTTTTTTCGTGGATCAAATCGGAGACACCTTACAAGGGGATATCGATATGAACAATTTCAAAATAACTAATTTAAAGTTTCCAGGAAACGATAACGATGCCGTGAACAAGAAATATTTACTGGATCAAATTCAAATAGATAAGGACCATGTTGAAAATAGAATAACTGACGTGAAAAGATACCTCAGACGAAATATTAAAAATCTTGTGGACGAACCCAAACTACAACAAGAGTTAACGAGTTTGAAACGTCTTATTCAAGTGGATAAAACAAGTCAGTTGCAAAATTTAATATCTAACTTAGACGATAAGATTACGAAGGTAAAAATAGACGTCCAACGTTTAATAGATAACCCAAATGTAAACGAGGATAAGTTGAAACTAAAAACGAATTGCTAGCAGAACTAGACAAGACCGCGGAAAAAACCGAGTTACAAAATTCGATATCCAATTTGAACGAAAAGATCGCGAAGCAAAAATCAGATGTTCGAGATATAATTAACACACTTCCCATTGACAAAGATACGTTGAAACGACAATTGACTGCTTTGGATACTAAAATCACGGACGAATTAGAAAAAGAAGTGGGTGTGATTAAAAACTTTCTTCAAAATAAATTTGAGATGATATGAAAAATTATATTAAAGAACAGGTCAATCTTTTAGTATCTAGAATTCATGACGATTTTTTGAGACAAGAGAAAAAGTTGACCAAATTAGAAGCTATTGTCACGGACAAGTCGTATTTTCAATCTTCCATTCGAAAGTGACACTGTCTTCGATGAAAAAGACCAAATTTATAAGTCAAACAAATACGGATTCAAAGCAGAAATAAAAGTGGGTTCTCTCGCAGACGGAGAACCTAAAAACAAACGTATTCGATATCGGCGAAACGGAAGCGTTTACTTTTCGAGGTAATTGTCTGATTCAAATAGAGTTTCCCATGAAGGTTAAAGTCAATAAAGTAGTCTTCAAACAAACCGGTAATGCCGTCAAACATATTTCATTATTCAATGATGGTAATTTTGAAGAGAATATACGTTTGATTGATAAAAGGGATCAGGAAATTGAAACGAAAAATGGTAAATATGTAGACATCAAAATTCCACGAGGCTTACACGTACACGGATCAATAGAATCGAGCAGTCACGAGTTTTTATGAACAACAGACTTTGAATACGTAAATCTGTATTTCGCTTTAGGTGAAAAATACACCTCGATCGATGTTCATAAAAGTCAACAAGAAAGAGAGTTTATAGTACATTTATCGTTTGCCGAAGACTCCATCCTTGAAGGTGGTGGTTATATTTTTAGAGCCAAGATAAACATCGAAAAAGAAAAAATATAATATTCCTATCATCTTAAAGAGGACCATACGAAAAAATAAATTTTGTTAGTACGCGTAAATGTTTTTACTTTTAATACCCTCAAATATAATAATGCTAGGCCAAACAAGCGCGCTCTATACGATATTCCGTGGTTCTATTTATCGGAAATTCACTTCATTTAACGACTTAAAAAAATGGAACTTGAAAGCAGACAACAATACATGATAGACAAACAAGAAGAGTTGAAAATAAAGTTGAGACAGTACAATACATGCAGGAAAACATGGAGTAGAATCGATTCTTTTTTCAAAACAGCGAGCACAGTTCTAACGGTAGGAGTAACGGTGGCAACGGCCGTGACTGGTGGATTAATGCTTCCGGTCATCGTCCCAACCGTATTGGCTGCATTAACAGCCGTTCAAACGACCTCTTGCGGTCTCATCACTTTAGGTTTCACGAGCAAAAAGAAAGCTCATTATAAAAAGAAAACGGATATCTTGAATATGTATCTTAATCAATTGTACATCTTTTTCGAAAGATCGAGAGAAGACAAGAACATAACAGTTGAAGAATTAAAAGAATTCAATGAAATTTTGGACAAATTCCATACAGAAATATCAGCGGTCAAAATAAAGAAATAATCAAAAATATATACTTAAATAAATACGAAAAAACTTGCAGACGATGAAAGATTGATAGAAAACGCTCTATTTTCCGATGTTATCAAGGTTATCTCTGATAAATTTAAAACATTCAAAGGACAAATTAAAATAGATGGAGAGATAGTCGAGGAAGGGAATCACAGACAATACATGTCACTCCTCGGTTTCAATGCCAAAACTTTTCACAATATCTTTTCAAATATGGACAAAAACACCGATGCTTCCGATTGGTATTTTACAGGAAAAATAATTTTAATGAAAGACAATTTCCAAGAAATAAAATGATCGAGAGATGGTAGAGGAGGAACTGATCTACTTAAAAAGATAAATGAATACGAAGGCGAAAATTGTTACATACCTACAGATGGTCACTGTTTTATCAAATGCGTCAATCGTGTTTTGAACAAAGATTTAACATGTAAATTTCAAGAATACATCAACGGGTTTTCAAAAGCAAATAGAAAAGGAGTGATGACTTGTGCTAGAATGAATGAATTCAACAAGAAATTTAACACTTCGTTTCAAATTTATAATCCCAAAAACAGACATTTTCACCCCAGAGACGTACATGATGAATTAGATTGGGTTTTTTACTTACACAACTCGCATTTCTGTCTGATTAGAAGAAGCCAAAAAAGTTTTGGAATTCAAGAAATAGAAGACAATTACGAACAGGTGTGGAAAACGTGTAGAGACGATACCGCAGTAACACAGGTTTCACCCCTCAAACTAAGTATGAGTGATGATGCGTTATTCGCTTGGGATTGCGAAACGTATTCAGAAAAAGACACGCGAAGAGCAATTCCGTATTGTTGCACTTTAATTAATTTAGAAAAACTAAGAAAAAAGTTAGAAACGATAAAAGATTTAAATCCTACTGATAAAGTTCCAGAAGAATTTTATGATAAACTAATGAATGTAGTAGAAATATTTGTAGGTACAGATTGTATAGATCAAATGTTGAAATATTTAGGTCAATATGATAGAAAGAGATTAATATTAATTTCTCATAACGGCAGTGGTTTCGATAACTGGATCGTGCTTAAAAATACAAAAAAACTAACGCATTGCCCTTTAAAAACACCCAGAGGAATTCTATCTTTTCCTTTATCTAATCCATACACAGATGAAGATTTACAGAAAAAATGGAAAACACAGAAAGAAATAAAGGGTAACTATTTACAACATATTAATTTCACGTGTTCCTATCAACACGAATCCTCTAGTTTGGCTGCATGGGGAAATTCTTCCAATCTCCCGGCGAATTTGAGAAAGATTGCCTACGTAGATATCGCTAAATACACGCAAGACAACTGAGAGGAATTGAGACACGAATGGGAAGCTTACGCCAAGAGAGACACTCTCTGTTTGGGAGCTTGTTTGATAAAATACAACCAAGTCACGAAAGAAGTTGTAAACCAGAATATGTAAAATAATCTAGCGGCTCCATCTTTATCTTTAAAGGGTTGGTATTATTTATATCATTACGATAAAGAAATGGTGGAAGAAGAATGGTATTAAACTACTAGAATGGTTGCGAAACATACCGGAAAAAGAAAATATAGAAAAAGATTATTCGCACACTAATCCTTTTATAAGAAATTTTATCAGACGATCTATTAAAGGAGGAAGAGTTTCGGCAAATAGAAAATCATTTGAAACGAACAAAATGGATGAAATTTGTAACGTATTAAAGGAATATATTTCACAAAGTGACACAGAAAGTAATAACATAATTGATTTATTCAAAGAATACAATGCAA